ACTGTATATATTACATATGAATATATATATATATATATATATATATATATATATATATATATATATATATATATATATAGAGAGAGAGAGAGAGAGAGAGAGAAGAGAGAGAGAGAGAGAGAGAGAGAGAGAGAGAGAGAGAGAGAGAGAGAGAGAAGAGAGAGAGAGAGAGAGAGAGAGAGAGAGAGAGAGAGAGAGAGAGAGAGAGAGAGAGAGAGAGAGAGAGAGAAGAGAGAGAGAGAGAGAGATGAAGAGAGAGAGACAGCGTGAGAGAGAAAGAGAGAGACGAGCGAGCGAGAGAGAGAAGAGAGAGAGAGAGAGAGAGAGAGAGAGAGAGAGAGAGAGAGAGAGAGAGAGAGAGAGAGAGAGAGAGAGAGAGAGAGAGAGAGAGAGAGACAGAGAGAGAAAGAAGAGAGAAAGAAGAGAGAGAAGAGAGAGAGAGAGAGCGAGAGAGAGACAGAGAGAAAGAGAGAGAGAGAGACAGAGAGCGAGAGAGTATATATATATATTGTCTGTATATATGTATGGCTAAAGAGAAAGAGAGAGAGAGAGAGAGAGAGAGAGAGAGAGAGAGAGAGAGAGAGAGAGAGAGAGAGAGAGAGAGAGAGAGAGAGAGAGAGAGAGAGAGAGAGAGAGACAGAGAGAGAGTGTATATATTGTCTATGTATACACACACACACACACACACACACACACACACACACACACACACACACACACACACACACACACACACACACAACACACACACACACACACACACACACACACACACACACACACACACACACACACACACACACACACACACACACACATATATATATATATATATATATATATATATATATATATATATATATATATATATATATATATGCATGCATATATGTAGTATAGAGAGAGAGAGAGAGAGAGAGAGAGAGAGAGAGAGAGAGAGAGAAGAGAGAGAGAGAGAGAGAGAGAGAGAGAGAGAGAGAGAGAGAGAGAGCAAATTCTGCTTTCCTACTTAATGCAGATCTCTCACAAATGTTATACACAGAAGCAATAGTTGACTAAGTATGTATATGTACAGGATAATTCCTTTTTTCACTTTAAAAACATAAAAGTTTACTCGACCTAATTGTGCTGTTTGATCGACACCTCACCACCTTAATTACAGTATGGACGTCCTTGAACAAATCTTCCTATCCTGGCACACACACATTTCTTATTATTGTCACTCAGCGAATGGTCGCCATGCCGGCACGAGTCCACATTACTAGGATCCATATATATGCGCCTTGATCCCAGCGTCCTGTAGAGGGTTCTGTGCAGGAGCTCCCGTCACAGGCTACCGCACGAATCCCACCTACGGCTGGTCGGGTCGGCTAACATGCTGAGGGGGAGACTTAAAGGGGTTGACCAGACGCTTGCCTCGTCGCTCCTCCATTCACAGGGACCAAATTCTGGCAGACATTTTGGCTATTCGTTGTCGATTCTGGGGACTAGGTATAGTATTTTGCTTCATGGTTGCGATGCCTCTTGCCTATACACATCATTTTCAAGGTCTGATACATGTTTGATTATATGTTCTTTCTCCCGGCCATTAATGCATTCTAGAAGAAACTGTTGTTCCAACAGATCGATCTGGTTTTCTAGTAAATTAGTGTAGTAGATGCAAGCGACATGTATCCTTGACCGCCGTCAAAATGGATGTGGTTCAACCACATTGGCCATTATGGAGTTCCTGCTTTGATTTTTTACAGAATGAAGGACATGTACATTTATTGCGTCAGGTCCTATAAATTTCAAAATGAAGAATTTCCTTGTGATGTCATTGTAGGTGTGCCCAACGTCAACAGCTCTAGGATCACTGGCAACACAGGTGCATGACACTTGTAAACTCTACGGGATTTTTAAATACTCCATCCATGTTTCTTCTATTACAGATGATCAAAACTTGGGACAATAGGTATATGGACATGTAAATGAACGTTTACTAATAAGCTCCTTACATTCTAAGGTTTGGGAAAATGTGCATATTTGTGATACAGTGCATGAACATGATATGAGGACTGCCTGCAGTGAAGTGGTCCGCGGTCCACGAGCGCGGTGCTGGTGGCCTGGTGGCGAAGACTGGCAGCCAGGAGCGGCAGCCGCGGCGGCAGCGGCAGCAGCGGCAGCAGTTCACCACTCCGGTGACTGCGGTGGCAGCCCAGTGTGCCTCCAGCTCGTGTGACGTAAGGACGCAGCTCCCTACATACCGCAACTCGCCGCGTCCACACCCTATGCCTAGCCGCAGTCACGCCTGTGCCCTCGTCCTCGCACTGGACCCTGTAAGTGGAAGGTGCGGCAGCGGGGACCCTGGCAACCCTGCTGCCACTTGTGCTCGTGTGTACTATGTGTGAGCGGGGATGTTGAGAGAGCGGGCGGCATATTTGGCAAGGCAGGCGCCATGCTAGTGGGAGCTGGCAGGTATTCACCGTGCATGTTGCCAGCTCCGGCACTTAGCTCAACATGACCTGATGTGGCCCTACACGACACCCACCACCATTATTCCTCATCGTCACCATCATCCAAACGAGCGCCGTACCCCGTGACTCCCTCTCACCCACCTCACCATCTCCACCACCGCCACCCGCCACACCGTAGGCCCTGCAACGGCCTTGGCTGAACCTTGCAACCAACCGGGCCCACGCACCGCATGCTCGCCACACATACCTGCTCTCGTCCCTGCATACTCTCCTTCCCATCGTCACATTTGAGGAATTTTATTCTCCCGATTCACTCACGTTGCAGACGCGGTCCATATGCAACGGCCTTCACAAATCATGCCTTCGACGCTGAAACCTTTTCGATAGGTGCCGTGCTTTCACTGCCTTATGTGAAATGTGACAGTCTGATAAAGAAGATATTCAAAGAGAAAACATACATTGATTACACCGGCATTTAACCCCAGCGTTCCTCCTTCCACCTCTACCACACTCCCTCCTCCGGCATGACATGTTGAGCTGGTCTGAGACATGACTGAGGCCACTATCAGCTGCACCCCAACCCTCCCTCCCTCCCTCCCCTCAGCCGACCAGGTGTGGGTTCTCTCGCGTCCTCTTGTTGGTGTTTCTGTTGCTGATCCGCTGCCCCGGTGGTAGTGGGGGGCGGGGGGGACGGGCGCTAGATAAAACAATCATGATCAAGAAGTGCGATTAAAAAATGACATGCAGTAGGTTCGCTAGGTTAACATTGCCCATTCCGGAGCACATCATGATGTTAAGAGCCTTCCCCATCCCTAGACTTGTTGCAGGAAAGGGTAGAATGCATACGGTAATGAAGATGGCAGAATCACATTTAGAAACATCTTGGTGAAGTCGAAGCGATTGGGCCTGCGTTGTGATGCATTGTCAGTTAAAGAGAGTTGCAGTATGCTTATTATTGATCATCGTAGCTGCCATTAATAAAATGCAAATTTTAATGTGGTTGATCGTGCTCTCAATCATGACGTCATTACATGCTGCTTGTTTTTGTACATGCAGTTGCCTACATATATTTCATGAGTTTATGGACAGAGTGCCTTACTGAGTGCACAGTTGCTTCCGTCACTGAGCCATCACTTCCATTGATTCTAATGCGTGCTAAAATTTAAGTTACTTTATTGGATCATTCTTTTGAGTATTCAGCTTTGTCTAACCTGTGTGGTATTCTTTTGAAATTCACTTCGCCGCCGTCACTGTGAAATGAAATACGTTTTCGACCTGAAATGATATTGACTTATTGAACTAAATTGTTCTCGTTTCCACATGCTCAAAGGACAAGTAATGAGAACACTATTTCAGAATATTTAATTACAGCCAAGAATCTCTACCGTGCTTGAAAGTTATTGTCTGAATCCGACTTGGTAAATCATTGAAATATCAGTCTTCTCTGCTGGAAATAACAAGCACACGGTGAGTGGAACGGGCGAGAATGATCAAAAACAGATGTTGGGGGGGGGGGGGGAACTTCGAAGAAAAATAGTGAACTACGCAGATAATTCCTCTCAACAAATGCTAACTGGTATCAGTGATGTAAACAATGTCTCTTAGCCTTGCATTTCTTTCTCAAAATAAATAATTGAACTTCACATGTCTTATTCGCACTTTAAAATCAGTGAGAATGATACGTATAGTTAGTAAATATGGATGTATGTACAACTTTGACTGATAAGAGCTTGTTGCCAGGATAGGGCTCAAGGACAGGGAGGCGGGCGGCGGTTCGAGACAAATACTGGACTTCGTGAGTTTGTTTTCGTGGAAGATGGTTCTTTGACATCCGCGTTTCAGGATATTCTAATACCATGACTGTCATTATTGTCATGTGTTAATATTTACATATGATACTAGTGTTTATACTCGTGTCAGTTGCTGTACGTGTGTGTTTACTCTTATCGCCAACAATAACTAAAAACCATCGAAAACGGTTGCCATCTCTTTTCCCGAAACCCGTAGTGCCATTTTAATCATTGCTCAGATTGAAGCGTCGTATCATAGGGATTACCATCATTATAGCTATTGAAAGGATAAGCTCCATTGGTTATCAAGGTCAGTGCCATCAGTTGTTCACAATCAGTTGCACCATTAGTTATTGTTATCTTCATCATCAGTCTCTTAACCAAACACCCATCCAAAACATCCATTATCACTACCTATGTAAGTAGCCATAAATCTCGCAACCACTGTCGGTACCGACAGCAGTGTTTGTAGTTACCTATAGTTCAACGTTAGCATTAACACTTACCCTTAAACATCCCAAGAACTTAGCAGCATAACCATTATGACCGCCTTTAATACCACTACCGCTAATGTTATCAGTAGCACTGTTAAAATCAGCACCAACAGTAAACTCGAATCCCAGCTGCAATACCAATACTGCAATTATCTGAAGTAGCAATAACATCAATATCAGCAGCCACGTGCCATTACAACAGCAACAACAAACCCACATCAATATTACCCCAGCCACGCTATAGTTGAACTGTATATTTACAAAGACAGTTGTGTTCCACCTTTGTTTCGAATCCAGACCCGTGGTAGTGTCCTAATCACGCCATCATTATCAGCTGATAACTCGAAATAAGAAAAGTATGTGGGCCATGGCTGAAAACTTTCAGGAGAATGAAGAAGGCAAGGTCAGTAGAGCATATGAAAGGTACAAGACAGCTATTTTCTGGGACCCGGTGTTGGCAGCAATTATAACGAATTCATGTCAATTTCGTACGCAACGGTTACTTGACTATAATTATCACGCACTTGAAACACGTTATACCGGAATCATGCAGAATAATTGCCTTTAACTTGTGTGTTCTGAGATCCACCGTATTGTAGGGTGTAAATATAATACCGGCCTTTATGTTTGTGTTGTGTTGAGTACATAGGCCTATGTGTGAATAAAATCTTTAAATGTAGGTGTAATGACGGTATAGTTCCGGTTAAAGGCCTCGATTGATATTTCGTTAGATGTCTTTTACACTGAACAGAAGGATTATTTATGTCATGTTTATAATGACAGATCCGATGTTCGTTTATGTGACTTATACGTTTATTATTTTTCCCCGTGAATCGAGAGTGCAAGCAAATTTTCTTATATTTCCTTGAAGGATGATCGATGAATCATACACTTTTCGAAACATAAGATTATTTCTCGTTTATTTCTTGTTTAGCGATGTTAAGGCAGCTGCTGGTGAAAATTACCGTTTGTCTGTGACATTTGATATGAAGGAGATAACAGATGACAGACAGTCTATGGGTGGTGGGTTAGCCGACTCGTCACAAAAGTTCACTTATCATTGATGGGCAAGGATGAAATTATCATTAACGCGTGTAGGGGTTGAGTTATCACAGCCACTTCTCGTGAGGCGAATCCCATACAGGCGTGGTGGGAAGGAACCAAATATCAAACTTCTTAGGAAGGGTCAGTTATCACCGGTATGTTCTGTGACGAGTAGTAGTGCCAGGTTACCACAGACGGCAGTGATATTGAACACCACGAACGATTGTTAAAGATAAACGCAGCTGCCGTGTTTATTAGGTCATTTTTGAGTGTTCCACATGCATGTTAAGGAGAGTTAATTATGTATAGATATATTTGATTCTTGAAAAAAGGAAAGAAGCAGAGGAAGAATGTACAGATGATTAGTTGGATAATCAAGAAGGTTTAAGGTACGCTCCTGTGTTTCTTAAAGCTACAAACTAGCAGGCTGAGAAGTCTTTTTCAGCTTAGGTATGTAAAACTATATAAATTATATATTCAGCGATTACAGATACGCGCACGATAGTTGTAGGGGACTCAGGTATGATCATAATGGGCTTTAGCATACATGGGATTGGCTTAGGTACAACGCAGAAGGTTTTAAGATACAAACATATTAGATGAAGGAGGTTCTTTGCATTATGCAGATAGCAAGGTCCATTGTAACAGACGCCATAAAAATAAACCGTTTCCATATGCTTTATCTCCCGACCTTTACTTCTATTGCACGTTGCAGAAAGTTGAGTGTTTGGGGAGGGGTTTCCACATAGGTTCATTACAGTTTGTTATTGGCCTGCCATTCTCATATGCAAATTCCCACTGTTACCTACGTAACCTCGGTATTAACTCTTATCCTTCCGACTTCTGTGAGCAGCAAATGCTGTATTGCGCGGTCATAAACATCGTTTTTGCATTTAGCGTGGCAAGTAAGCTCGATGACTTGAGAAAAGATAAATGAGTTGATCACCCTTATTTTACTACCAAATCTGTACAGGCCAGCTGGATGTACCCTAGAGTATTGGCAATGGAAATAAGGTAAAGGCGTGCATAGAGAAATGTGTACGGGTGGGGTGGGTTAGGGGATCCTTGAGATACAGTTTCTATAAATCTTTACTAAGCGAGAATATTTAGATTTCCGTTTCTCCTTTTTGTTTTTTCTCCTCATCATTTCATCACAGGATTTGCGATAACGGTAACAGCATAGTAAAGAGTTGTTTTTATTATTATTATAGAAACGCTGAGGGCGAGTGATGTAGCGCTTTGCAGATAATTGCTTTTGGCGCATAATTTGCACTGCTGGAAGAAATTAACCTAGTTTGTTTATTTTTTTGGTTGTTGCTCGCGGCGTTATTCCACACAGAGGACACAAACTGATCGTCGGTGCGAGAAGGAAGGCTTCCGAGGCTTCCCAAGGCTAGAGCTGGTCCGCCGCGAAGCAAAAACGAAGCGGGAGAATGGATTTCCGATACTGATAATTTCTTTACGTTTCTCAAGACTCGGATCGCGCCATGTCAGATCTGACGATGATGCGGTTGGCAAGTGACACGTCTTGGCC